AGATTGATCCCGGGTCTTCACACTGAGCTACATCTCCAGCCCTTGTTTAAATTTTGAGAGTCTTGCCAAGTTGTCCAGGCTGGGGTCAAATTCATGACCATCCTGCTACTGCCTTCCAGAATGCTAAGATTACAGAGATCACCACTCCTGGCCTCCTGGCCTTGTTCTTTTGAGCTGAAGTTTCAAGGAACGGGACAGCCACCAGCTCAGTCACGGACAGGTCACCAGGGAGGTCATGGCCAGACCCCATCCTTGCATGGGGCTTCCAGGGTTGTGTCCAGGGGGACAGGGGCAGGGGTGCTGGATGTCCTGGAACAGGTAGCTTTGGGGGGTTGGGGACACTTTTCCAGGGCCAGCCCAGGACACGCTCTGGTTATTTCTACCCTGCTTCCATTGAGCTGACCTGCCTGTCCTGCCCCAGGAGAGGTGGACACTAGGCTTCCTCCCAGCAAACAGCACAGTGTAACCCAACCAGCAGGACCCAGCTGAGCAAGAGGTCCGGAAAACAGGAGCCTTTGACCCAGATAAGTGTCCACTAGTGGTAGGCTGGAAAATGTCCCCTAAGAGATGGAAAAGCAGAGGTGGCAGATTAGCAGGCGGCCAGCCAGAGGAATGCAGAAGAACCGGTTTTCAGGACTGGCAGTTCCTTCCTGAGCTGTCCCCTGCCTGTCTTCCCCAGGGTCTGTTGAAGTCACCAAGATCCAGGGACCACCAAGAAAAAATCCCTGGAATACATGAGTCCTATGGGCTTGGGATGGCAGGAAAGTCTCGTGCAAGCAAGGGGCAGCAAGCAAGAGGCAGCGCTCCTCTCCCCTCAGGGCCTCAGGCCCAGTGAAAGGTTCCTAATCTGGGAAAGCGGAGGAAGCAAGGTCCCTGGGATCAACCTGTGGGTGTGTCTGTGACACTTCTAGTGACAGTCCCCAACTCTAACTCCGTGCACACAGCATGCAGGACCAGGACAGCCTGGAAGACCGGGACACTCAGGCGATCTGATCCCAGGGCTGTTTATTTTTGAGGGTGGGGCTGGAGTGGGGCTCAGGAGCATGAGACGATGGGAAGACAGAAGGCCCCGCTGGCTGTCCTCACTTGTCCCACCCAACACACAACCTCTGCCTTTGCATTACGAAGAACCTGTTTGGGGCCAGTCCTGCAGCAGCTCCATGACCTCGTGGAAGACGCCAGGGCCGTCCCGCCGGCTCCCAGCCCACTTCCCTCCTGCCCCTCACCCCAAGGCCCCCTGAAGCCACCAGCAGGCTGCTGTCTCTTCCTACTTCAGCAGGTCAACGCCATGGCCGAGGAGGGTGAGGTTGACGCCTGTGTCCTGACTCCCCCTGGCCGGCTGTGGTGCAGAGGCTGAATCAGTCCTTGGGCAGCTTCTCCTACAACCTCGGCACCTGCCACCTCTTGGAACCAACCGACCGAGTCCTGCTGTTAAGTCAAGCTGTAGCAACGCAAGCCATGGGCGGTGGGGGAGTGGGACTCAGAAAAGAGGACCACCGTCCCTGACGGGGACGAGCGCACAGGTGTCTTCGTAAAGATCATCGACTCCGCAGACAGTCCAGAGTTGCCTCTTATTAACTCTGTGACTCTGGGAAACGGATTCAGTTTTCTCACTTTTGTTTCTTTAAAATAGGGACACAAATACCTTCCTTGCCTTGTTACTCTGAGGATCAAATCAAATAATACACAAGGGGTTATCAAAATGTCTGGTGAATGTTTATATTAAAAATTTATTACCGTAAAAGATATAAGCATGAGTCACCCTCAAGATGCTCTTCCTTGCTTTGAACACACTCATCCCACTGCTCTCGCCACTTTCTGAAGCAGTTCTGGGGGTCCTTCTTCATGAGGGCCTTTATGAGTTGTGATCAACAGTATAGATAACACTGCTGCCAAGCGCCATCCAGTGGAAAGGTAGGCAGGTGGAAACGTCGGTGTGTCCTCATCCACCTATTCACCAGACCTGGCACTGTGTGACTTGTGGCTCTTCCCCAAAGCCAAAATGATCACAAAACGTAAATGTTTTGAACAGATTCAGGATGCTGAGACAGCCACAGTAGTACAGCTAAGGACACTCATGAAAGAGGACTTCAGAGCTGCTTCAGAAAGGGACCAGAAGGATGGGCTAAGTGTATTCAGAGTGAAGCGCAGTATCTTGAGGAGGATTAATGTGTCTTTTACTGCAGTACTTTTTTATTTTAATTTCAGCATTCACAGTAGTTTTTATCATACCCTGTATGGGTAGGCGAAAGGCAGAGTGGGATTGTACGGCGAATGAAAACCCAGCCCCTGGAACCCAAGGACTTGAGGTGGAATCCTTTTCCCTGCTGTGTGTACTTGAGCAAGTTAATTTACATTTCTGAGCAGAATTTTCTTATCTGCAAATGGGCTTCCGGACCATCTTGTGGGGTTGCTGGGAGTCAAGGACTGTCCTGAGGACCGCGTGTGCTCACTAACCACTGTTAGACTCTGTCTGGAAGGTGGTGTGACGTAAGAGTCCCAGCTCCTGGTCTGCAGAGGCCTCCACCGCATTCTGCCCAACCCCAGGCCTAGTTTCTTTCCCCACTTCTCCCAATCAGGACCGTCTGCCCTTCCTACCTTCTGGCCCCAGCTGGCCTCTTAGACATCGCTCTGCCCTGCGTGGAGGCCCCCACCCCTGGAGCAGGGCTGGTGGGCTCTCGGGTCTGCCCCACGTCTGAGAAGGCCCTCTCCTCGCTGGGGAAGAGCATCCCCAAGGAGCCTGCGCTTTAGCAAGCCAGGCTGTCCCTGATGAGTCAGCTCCCAGTCTGAGAGGTTACCCCTACTGGCAGCGAGGCCCTGCGTGCCGCCCCTGTGTGCAGCGTCTCTTTCCATCCCATGAGTCAGAAAACACCAGTCACTCCACATGTGACCCAGCACCTTCTGCCAAGAGCTGCGAGCGAAGTGCCGGAAAACCCTCGAAGGACCAGAGAGCAGCTGCGAGAGAGAATGGAGCGAATGGAAGTCGGGACTCCTGAGGTCATCGGCAGAAAAAGTGCAGGGCGGAGGTGGGGGTGTTCGCCTGTCACGAGTGGCCAACCGCAACACGCCTGGAAAACTAATGTGACTGTTTTATCTGATTATAAATATAAGCCTTGTTTATGCAACACTCTTGGTCAATATAGAAAACTGAAAAGAATGGGCATCTAGCCAGCGTGTAGCCACCGTGCCCGTAATCTGCTGGCACGTTTCCACTTGCTATCAGGGTGACGCCTGCTGGGTTCAGGTTCATTGAGCTACCAGTCACTGCCCAGGCCCGGTCCTGCTCCTGCCTGGGTCCTGGGACTCTGACTCCTAGCAGGAGCGGGGATGGGCCATTCTGGTTCCCAGATCTGAGTGGTCTCAGAGACACCTTGGCTTTGTCAGGTCTTTGGAGCCAATGGGTCCCCTCCAGGGGACAACTTTGCCTTGGTTCCTCTAGGAGTAGAGTGGTAGACTGAAATTTTCCTTGTATCTCTTTGAGTAAAACGGGAATGTTGTAAAACTACCATATATAAGCTTTGTATAGCCAGATGGGGAAAACTTTGAGATATGTGGCTTTTTAACTTTTTGGACCAGATCCATAGTAAGATATAGATTTTGTATAGTAAGGGAGTATGTATACACACAACCGGAGAGAAGTTGTCAGAAAATTTCCCAACCATTCTTGACCTCACTACATGAAATACACCTGACATTTTGTATTTTATTCCATTTAAGTCAAATGAAGTGTGCTTTGAGGCGTACTAAATTGTTTTCATGACCCACTGGTGTGTGATAACTCAGCTTAAAGAGCATGAGTTTCGCTGACTGTGATTCCATGGCTGGAACACAGTCCCCAGTGCCCACAAGTTAAGGGAGAGATTAGGTTCATGGTTCAGGGGATTCCGTCCAGGGTCAGCCGGCTCCAAGGCAGGAACATCGTGGTGGAAGGATGTGACAGAGCAAAGGTGCTTAGTTTATGGCAGCTGAAAGCAGAGCCAGGGAGCAGGCTAATGAGGAAGTGGCAGGGACCAGACACAGACCGCAAGGCCATACCTCCATGACCCACCCCGATGCACCCAGAAGTGTCCTCTACCAATCCCGCGGGTGACTCCCAAAGCAATCGAGTTGCCATAAACAAGTTCAAGAGTTGTAATACTGATAGCTAGAAGGAGAAAAAGTGGTACAGACCGAGGAGCCAGCCTGCCTCAGGCAGAATCCACCATTCCAGGCTTCAGCATCTTCATCTGTAAAGTGGGAAGAGAACAGAGGTTCTCAGGGCTGTGACCTAATCAATAAAGCAGCTCTGTGGATGCCCAGCAAGAAGGAAGGCCACCTTGGCCTCATTCTTCTGCTTGTCTCAGGCGGTGTAGACTGGTGGACGGAAGTTCTTCATATTTCTTTGAGGAAAACAGGAAACTTGTGAAACTACCAATGCTTGGGTGGTAGACGAGGGACGCTGAGTGTTAAATCCCTGCGCTGCTCTCCATGGAGATGAGTGAGGGTGCCTGAACCTCAGACAGCAAAGGTGGGATTCAAAATTCCCACCTAAAGTCATGGAGGTCTTCAGGCTGCATAATGCTCAAGAAATGAATATTAAGGCCCATCATCGCCGGGCACGGTGGCTCATGGCTGTAATCTTAGCTGTAATCTGGCAGGCTGAAGCAGGAGGATCACAAGTTCAAGCCCAGCCTGGACAATGGGGAGACCTTATCTCAAAAGAGGGAGAGGGGGCTGGGAATGGAGCTCAAGGCAAAGGCCTGGGGTTCAATCCCAGCATCACAGACCTCTCCTGGGCTGTGGCAGACCTCTCTGAATTACTGTCAGGCTTTGGGGTCCACTCTGCATGCTGGTGTGTGGAGCCTGGCTGCAGCTGCACAGCTCCAAAGCCCAGAGCTCTCCTCCCCTCCCACCACTGCCAGTGGCCTCACCACTTCCCCCACCGGCAGCCCAGTCCTCTGGATTCGTCGCTGCACCCTGTCACCGAGCAATTTTAATAAAGCACACACTACACCATCTGCTCCTTGTCCGAGCTCTTCCCGGACTCCCACACGCTCTGAGCGGCCATCCCAGGCCTGGCCACTGGAGGGCAGTGGCGCGCAGGGGAGCGCCAGGCCGCGGTGACCACGGATGCCACCCAGAAGTCATGCCTGTCCCCACCAGCGCACAACCCCACCGTGGGCCTCTTGGGCTCGCCACTCCCTCTTCGCTCCTTTATGCCGAGCTGGCCCAGCCATCTTCCGGAACCGTTATCTGCACGATCTTTCTTCCCGGCTGGCCCACACTTCCTCGGGAACATTCAGAGGCTCCTTATTTCCCAGGAACCGCACACTTCCCCTTCTGTTTCCTCATTAAGCGGTGCTGGACTTCAGCTGCTGCTCCAAGGCGCGGCAGAGTCTGGAGCTGCTGGGAATAGGATGGGCTGAATAGGCAGCTCTGAGAAGTGTGGTGGAGCGCCCTTCCTTCCTGTTGACATTTGTGCAGCCAGAATGCTAGCCTGACAGAGAAAATGCCTGCGGTTTCAAAATAGAGCAAAGCAGAAAAACTCCAACTTGCATCTGTAGGTCACAAATGAGCGCCCGTGCTCCTCCTCTGAGGCTGATGTTGGTCTCCGCTCCCCCCGCCCCAACTCCCTGAAGTGGCCTCCTCTAGCTTGTGGATCCCTCAGCTGCCGAGCCCCTCCTCTGCCTGAGGTGTCCCCACAGCCCAGCTCCTCTGTCACCCCAGAGGTCCCACCACCCTCAGGACCCCGGAGCTCTGGGAGGTGTGTGCCGGTTTCCTGCTGTACGGGGTTGCCAAACATAGGGGCTCAAAACACCCTTGGTCTATCCTCTCACATTTTCCAAGTGTGTAACCAAGGCGTGCAGGGCTGCATTTTCCACAGAAGCTCTAGGAGGGAGTGAGCTCCTTCCTCTTCCAGCTTCAGAGGTGGTAGTGTCCTTGGCTTGTGGCTCGCTCCCTGTAGTCCGGGCTTCTGTCTGCACTGGCTTTCTAGGTGTCTGTCTGCAAGTCTCCATCCCCCTCACCCTTGCAAAGATTCTCATCCTGCGATTATGGGCCATTTGGCTGATCCATGTCCATTTCCTCACTTCAAGACCCTTAACTTATTACATCAACAAAAATCTTTTTTTTTTTTTTTTCCCCAAAAGATACAATAATTTAGGGTTCTGAGGACCAGGATGTGCACATATCTGTCTGCAGGTCACCGTGGAACTACAAGTTCCATTATGAGGCCGCTTGGAGCTGGCTCTCAGAGCTCACATGGACCAATGGGGTTTCCCAAACCTGCTAGGGCATCAAAATTCCCAGTGTGTGAGAGGACTTGGGGAATCACCTCAGCGGGGCCCCCATGGAGATCCAGGTGCAGGAGGTTTGGGATAGCGCTGAGCACCAGCCAGGAGCCCATGGGTTATGCAGTAACAAACAGGCCCACCATCTCAATGGCCTAACAGCGCTAGTTATGGTCACTGTGGCTTGGTCTGAGGCTCTCCTCTGCACTGTCCTCATTTTCGAACCTGGGTGACGGATCATCCGCCTTCCGGATGTGTCACTGGTCCCTGTTCGCGCCAGCTCCCTCAGCCGGGACCCTCGCGGCTTCCGCCCACATTCTTTGGCTGCAGCACTTACTATGGTGGGAGGTGCAATCCAAGTCTGTGTCGCAGGAGGAAGGACCTGGTATTTTTCAGAAAGCAGCATAAGTGCAGGACACATGGGAGCAGAGGGCTCTCTGTGGAGAGTACCAGAACAAGGCAGCTGGGGCAGGAACTCGCAAACAAGATCATTCAGAAGAGGCTCTGCAGATCACCAGTTACTTCCGGCAAGGGTTAAAGCAGGGGGTACTCCTTGTCATGCCAGCTCAGTTTGATGGGGCCCTTTCAGACTGACTGCTGTGGCTCTTCTGTTTTTAGGAAAACCTGGTCTGTATGGGGGATTTTCCTCCTTTCTTATAATTTCAGTTTGATCGGATGATGCTTAGCACAAGTGGTCCAGTGCAGTGGGGTCCTTCAGACCTAGTGGGAAAGTGCAGGCCAAGACAAGAGCCACTTCTGAGTTTTGTGCAAGAGCAGCGCGGGTGGAGGGCAGTGAGTTTGGGGGTGGGGCGCCGCCATCCTGCAGCTGGGGCCTGTGAGTTTGCTCTTGCTGCAAACGGCTGGCTCTCTGTCTGGCTCAGTCAAGCTAAGAGTGGACCCATGGGAAAGGACACTGATGCTCTGCAGCATGCATGCGCATCGGGCAGAGCAGGCTCAGAAACATGGGTTAGGGTCCACACTGGTGCTGCTACCAGTTGCCACCAATTACTAGACTCATGGGCCTGTGTCGAGTTCGAGTCCCCTCTCCTGCTGTCCGAGAGTCACAGCAGGAGGGCCCGGCAGGATCAACTGCTTCCCGCCAAGACTGCAGCTCCTGGGTGCCCCCAGGGGAGGGGCCTGGGTGTGAGCAGCTGAAGACCAGCGGAGGGACGTCTCTGTTAAGGTGCCCCTGCTTCTCCTCCTAATGAGCGCATTCTGATGGACAGGGGAATTCACTTTTCGTTCACGGAGCCCTTTGCTGCTTTGTTGGCGTGGTGGGGGGTGCAGAGGGAGGTGTGGCACTTCTTCCATCATCTCCAGCCCTGCTCCCACCAAGGCCACCAGGGTCCCCCAACAGAACCATGATGGATGCTTGACATGGTCGCTTCTCACACACCCCCAAGGCGCAGAGCCTCCTAGTAGGCTCTTGCGGGACAGGCAGCCGTGGGTTTCAGGAGAACGGGGCAAAGGATGAATGTCTGGCCTGAGCTGGGGTCTGAGCGAACTCTGGGTATTGAAGTGCAGAGCCCCTCGTCGGTGTCCCTAGAGAGCTGGAAAATGGATCGGCATGAAACCCCCACACATTTGGCATCAGTGTCCTGTGAGTGGGGAAACCCCCGTTCCCTTCTTTCATAGTTTTATTTGCTTAACCCTGGCAACCTTCCTAGAGTGTGATGCTTTCATGTGGGGCTACAGCCAGATTTTCTTGGACTCAAACTTTTCACTGTTGAAAGAAGGAAAGTTTGGGGAAGTGCTAGCTTGCTTTTTCTTTCCCCTTCTCGTGCCACCCTGAGAAACCCATCTGTAAGGAGTGCTTGATTGATTCTTTCACCCCATGCCTATTTGACAGAGCCCCATGTGGCCCAAGGGGTTGCAGAAAATGGGAAAAAATGAGGCAAACAAAGCCAAGTGCCTGCCCTCCAAGGGGTCTCTGTCCATTTATCAAGGTGGGAGGTGCAGGAAGGGAGGGGACCACACTGGATCTTGGCTGAGCTGTAGAGAGTGGTTCGCTGTCAGCGCTGCTAACCAGAAACTGACCTTGATGCTCTGGTTTCAACAGATCACTGGTCAAAGCTGATGCAAGGGTGCATCCCGGTTCTCTGGGACTCTCTTTTCCTTTCCCTCACATGTTCATAAGGTCTCCCTTCATACTGGTGAGTAGGAAAGCAGCTACTTTCTGCTAGGTCCTTGGAAAGGTAAGTGAGGCAGGAGAACCGCTAGTTCAAGCCCAGCCTGGGAAACTAAACAATTTAGCAAGACCTTGTCTCCTAATAAAAAAATATTGTAAAAAAAGGTTGGGGATGTGGCTCATAATGAAGTCTGCTGGGTTCAGTCCCCAGTACTACGGAAGGAAAACAGCCAGCCATTTCCCTGGGACTCGGGATTTAGCAGGACGATCCAGGCCAAGGTCGCTCACTGGGGTCTGGAAGCCACCTGCCCAGCCCTGGCCAGTGATAGGATCCTGGCAGAGAGAGACCAAGAGATTCTGAAGGCAGAGAAGTGTGCAAAGGGCAAAGCGCGCTCTGCTTTATGACCCGCCAAGTAAACAGCTCAGCCCTCGGGAGAAATGAGTAACCCGGGAGGAGCCAGGCCATGCAGGGCGGGGGTGTGTTTTGTTGCCCCAGGAAAAAGCAAGACAAATTGAGATTTCCCTGTTACCTGGATCCTGATCATTGTCCCCCCTCCATTATTTTAATCATTGGAGGAATTGTGTCCTTACCAGAAGGGTCTCTCTCCTGAGAACCGGGCGGGCTTTCAGGGAGCTCGGTGGTCCTTCCACGCCTGGGTGTGGATGGGGCCATCAGACGAGGGCTGGGAGAGGGATGTGGGGCACGGCCACCTGCACCAGGACACTCAGGCTTGCAGCCAGGTCATGCTGGCGCAGGAAGTGTCCAGCATGGGGCCACATGGGCCTTGCCACGAGGTTAGGGATGGTCTCGTGGGCGCCTGGAGCAGCAGCCCGAGTCCAGGGACTAGTGAGCCAACCACAAGCGTGTGGAAAACAAGAACCTTGTTTTCTCCTGCGCCTACGGGGCTCAGAAATAGAACTCTGCCCTTTGTCCTTGAGGAGCTGAGGCAACTGCCCCGCGTGGGTGTCAGTGACCGCAGGTCCTTTGTTCCTCTCTCCCACACGCTGTCCCCCTCCTTCCTCTCGCCTTTGACCTTCAGCCCACATCCCTTGCAGTCACGGGCTGTCTGGTGTCGTGCAGGGGATCCAGTGGCTACCAGGAGCAGTTCCACGACACAGACGTGGACACGGACATGGTCATGGCCATGGCCATAGTCACATGAGCTCCCTGCTGCACCAGCTGCCCCAACCTTCCTCAGCCCAGCCCGCCCTGCCTGTGCAGTCACAGGGTCTGGTGTTTCCCTGGCAGGAACTTCGGGGTCAGACACAGGCCTCCAGGGTACGGTTTTAGAAACGTCATCAGCTGAGGCTCAGAGTAAACACCTGCGTGCCTCTGCTCTTGCATCCTGTGCACACACTCTACACCAGCGGTTTTCCACCTGAGGACTTGTCTGGAGTTCTCTTCCCCAAGTATCTTCAACTGAGCTATTGTGGCTGCCTCAGTGTCCTGAACTGATCTGAAGTGTTTGCCTTTCATAGTCATTCTGATTTTGGGGAAGAGCCAGAAGTCACTCGGTGCCCGCTCTGGTGAGCAGGGTAGATGAGGACACCCCGTCACGTTCTGACAAGCCTGCCTTTCCTTCGGCTGGCACTAGGCAGCAGCATTCACTGTGTTTTTTACCATAACTTGTGAAGACACTCATGAAAGAGGACTTCCAGAACTGCTTCAGAAAGTGGCAAAAATAGTGGGATAGGTGTGTTCAAAGTGAAAGGGAGGATGGGGGGGCCTCGTGGCAAGATGTCTTACTGTAATAAATTTTTTAAAGACTTAAACATTGTATATTTTGATTATCATATATAGAGACATACAAAAGACTCGTGATATAATACCCTCACTCCCCGTGAGACACCCTCACATCAGTTCTTCTACTCTGTTCAGTGTTTTAAAAACATGCCTCTCAGTCACTACCAATTCCAAGACCATTCTGGTCTTGCTCTGTGTGTAGAAAGTGCTGCTTCAGCACAAGCCTAGAGGAGTGGCTCCTGGTGCCCACAATGGCTGCAGACAGGGTGCCTTCTGTGGGTCCCCTGGGGGAAGGCTGGACTCCCCAGGGGTCCCACAGTGGTCATTCCTTTTTGTGATCATCCCTTTCCTGGGGCTAGTTTTTCACTACAGGACTAGAAATGGTCAGAAGCCTCTGAGGTTGTGGGTGGATCACACCACACCCTGAGTGTAAACAGCAGCGAGCTGGGTGTTATGGTTTGTGTCTGGATGTCCCCCCAAAGTCTCATGCAGGCATGGGGGATGGGCTTTTCTGAATCTAGAGTCTGACTGGTTCATTGTCTAGTCCTGGGATTGTCGGTATGAGTGCTACCCCTGCCCTAGGGCAGGTAGCCTGGATACAATATAGGGGAGGAAAAGAGGCTTGCTTCTCCCTTTCCCCCTTTTGCTCCTTTGACTTTGGCATCTACTGCTGCTATGAATTGTTGCCCCTCTGCCATGCTGCCCTGGCTTGGAGCCAGCTGATTACAGGCTGAAAGTTCTACAAACTATGAGCTAAATAAACCTTTCCTCCCTTAATTTTGGGCATCAGGTATTTTGTCTCAGCAATGAGAAGAAAGTAACTAAGACATTGGTTTAGCCCCTCACCTGAGCACCTGGCTGGTTGCATGGGCTGTGCCCACCCATCTGCACCCTCTCTCTAAGGAATTCAACCCAGAAAGCCAGGCTGTCACCAGAAGGTGCCCGGTTGGCACAACCCTGCAGTGAAGCTCAGAGGCACCTGCCACACACCTGGGTGTCCTACATGCCTCTCCAGGGTCCTGTCAAAGGGCCTCACTGCCTCTCCTCGTCCCTTCCACCCTGGCTCACTGCCAGATCTCTCATCCGGTTCCCTTCTGGGTCTGAGCATAAAAACCTTCAAGGTCAAGTTTGCAGAGGAGGGAGGGGGCCACCATGGTTTGAGTTCATGTGTTGGAAACTTAATCCCCAAACCCATAGATTTACATGTTTGGAGGCGGGGCTTCTGGGAGATGATTATAGTGGGTGCCATCAGGAGAGGAAGGAGCACACAGTGCATTAATGGCTTTGTAAGAAGAGGAAGACAGAGCTGCCACGTTGTAGTGCAGTAGGAAGGCCCTCACCAGGCACCGGGGAGATGCTAGTGCTGTGCTTATGGACACTCCAGCTTCCAGAATGTCTAACAGGAGCTCCCTCTGCATCCAGTGCCAAGGCCTTTGCCCAGAGTCTGGCTAATCAGCCACGACTACAGTGGGGATCTATTGAGTGCTTTGCACAGTGCTAGTGTCTTGGTTACATTCTAGTATCTAACACCCACAATTTGAAGGAGGAGAGGTTTATTCTGGCTCACGTTTGTAGAGGTTTTGGTCTATGGTCAGCTGGTTGCAAGGCAGGGTGGCTTGGCAGAGGGGCCTGGTAGGGGAATCAGTCCTCACATTCAGGTATCCAGGAAGCAGAGGGTGCTGCAAAAGGGGCTGGAAAGGGAGATAGAACACAGGGATCCACCTCTTCCAGGCAGCCCTCCACCTCCAACAGCAAGTCAGCTATAAGACCTGTGATACAACCAACTTGCAAATGCCTTGCCCGTGTGCCCTTGTGGACATCTAGATATAAACCATGGCAACTAGGTACGATGTAAACACTCTACTGGTGCTTTCTCTTTTCTTTCCCATGACAGTTTGATGAGACAGGGCTATTTCCCCTTTGTTGTACACGAGGAGACAGAAGCTTAGAGAGCTGAAGTCACTTGGCCCTCATAGAGCAACCATCTATGAAATATAAGTGATCAAAATATATGATGAGTATTTAAATTTCAAACATTTATTACAGGGCAAGACATAGTGCCATTAACTTCCTTTGAATACACTTATCCCATTGTTCTTGCCACTTTCTGAAGCAGTTCCAGAAGTCCTCTTTCATGCATGCCTTTATGAGGTATGATCAAATATATGGCACAAGCTGCTGATGCGGGCCCTCCAACAGAAAGGCAGGCTCATGAAAACATTAGGGCGTGTCCTCATCCAACTTATTCACTGGGTCTGGCACCATGCAAAGTCTCTCTTCCCCAAGGTCAAAAAGACCACGAAAGGTAACTGTTTTGAGTGGATTCAGGACATTGAGGCCGTTTCGGAGGTGTAACTAAGGACACTCAGGAAAGTGGTCTCGTCAGTGACCATCAGCTGCCACTCCCTGAGGCAGGACAGCATCTCCTGGGTGACCTCCCTGTCCACCTGCTGGCTGCTGGTGGTGCTCAGGCCAGGGCATCTGTTACCTGGACTTGCTGAAAGACGCAGATGGGGACCAACCTCTTGCCCACATGGGGTGGCTTCTGTGAGCCTCAGACCACATGAAAGTGACTCCGTGGACTCACCAGACCACGGCAGGGTGACTCAGCTGCCCATTGACACAAGAACTCAGTCCTCACAATGCGGTCCTTCCTTTTTTTCCCCTCTGGAACAAAAACAAATCCTGGCTCTGTGACTCGATTGTCATAGCAACTAGAAAACACTTGCTGACATGAGTCTGTAGGACAGGTGGGCTGAGCAGGTCTGGATGAAAACAGCCTTTTCTTGCCCCTTCACCCTGAACCCTGCACGTCTCATCTATGTGGAGCACATTAGCCACCAGGAGCCACGTTGCCACTGGAATTGTCTGACCTCTCAACCAGGGAGTCTGGGTAGTTACAAGTCTGCACCGGTGGTACCCAGCCCAAATCCCCACTGCAAAGAAACCTGGAAACACTGAGCATGTGTCCACCTCGAGCCTCCACGGATCCTGTCCCACATACATGGGAATTAGGAAGAAGCAGCCACTGGTTCCCATGCCCAGAAAGCTCTGGGGAGGCCAGGTACACACAGGCTCCACCCAATTCAACAAGGGACACGGTCAGAGAGGGGCTGTGGATATGGACTCTGGGAGAGGACAGGGCTTGGTGTTCAGCAGAGCAGCTTGACATCCACGATCCCCTCCCCTCAGATTAAACAGGTGTGATCCCAACCCAGCCCTCCCCCACATGCTCCAAATGTCCCCTCTTCCCTGCTGGGCCCAATCCCACTGGGACGAGGCCCCTCCTCACCTCGGCTGACCCCTCCAATTGCATCCGAACCCACTCCCCGCAAGGCCCTGACCCCCCACCAGCTGGCCGTCCGTGCCCCAGGGAATTCGGGGAATTCCCTCATGTATTTGTGACACCTCCAGTTCAAAGGCAGAGAGGGTTATTTTGGCTCACGTTTGTAGAGGTCTCAGTCCATAGTCGCTGGCTCTAAGGCAGGGTGGCTCTGCAGAGGGGTCTGGTAGGGAAATCGCTGCTCACGTCAAGGTATCCAGGAAGCAGAGGGTGTTGAGGAAGGGGCCAGGAAGGGGGGTAGAACCTTTGCAGGGTGCACACACTGGGACCCCAAAACTGTCCAGCCTTGTATGGCACCCTGACCGGTTACACAGAAATTTACCGTCTCACAAGAAGAAAACACACAGATTCCCATGACCCAAAGATTTGTAGTGACAATAATTAATATGTTTGAGCACTAACTCTGTGCTAGGTGCTTTGGTAAGTGACTCAGTTGTGATTTTTCATTTAATTCTTGTGGACTGGGTGAGGGCCATGTAGCTGTTGTTTCCAATTTGCAGATAAAGTATTAACAACAACAACAACAACAAATTTTAGACAAAGTAAACCTAACAGAGTTGATCTGAGTGAAGAATGATGCAGGAATCAGGCAGCACCCAGAATCAGAAGAGGTCCAGGGCTGGGCTATAGTAGCCAAGCAAGGGAGTGGAGGAGGAAATCCCTGCACAGGCTTCCGATGGAAACGGCTTCGTTTGGGTCTGATCTGCGAACAGTCCCTGGGTAGAAGTCACCGAGTGGTTTTGGACTGGTTCCACCTCTGGTTTTATTGTTTACATTCAGGC